AATTACATGAGTTATTGTAACCACAGTAAACAAAAATGATGAGTTAACGACAACAACAACAATGACAAGACAGACATTTTCTCTTCATTAACATTATGGGCAAGCAACAAAAAATTATCCCATTTTTGGGTTCTGGTGTATGCAACGCAATCTGTATTCATCACACTGTAATAAAAAAGTCATAAATAAATAAAAAACTTGTGTTTCACAGAAACGTCAAATTAATGATGAAAGGGGCATTTTTAATATTATTGCTTCAACACAAGCAACAAGCAAAAACCATATGATGTTGCTCTACTTGTGTGACATAGATGGATTGAGTCTGTCATCTTGAGTACCAACATTTTGTCTTTGCGAATGCCATCAAATCTTCAAATCATGAGCAGCGAAATTTAATCGATTTACAGTAATCATGTATTACCTTCAGTACAGTTTTCCCCATAATGATCATCATCAGCGCACAATTCACAGGCTGTACCTTTGAAGTTGGCTTTACACAAACATGTACCATTTCCAGACATTTTATCAACACACTAAAAAACAATATTATAATTAAGAAGTTGAGCAAAGATTAACAAACAAACTTCACATGCTAGGTACTAGCCTTTGTGTTCAGTGAATGAAAATTCACATTTTCAGCTCCAAAAAACAGGCCATAATTTGTTTTCCATAACATGGTATATATTGATGATTATTTTATTAAATATTAAACTGTATAATAATTTCATTACAACTTAATTAGGTACCCTAAGGTGAGAAATGATTGGATAGAAATATTTTTAGTGATTGCGATTGTTAATAATGATAAGGACAGGTGTGATAAATAGTCCATCATCCAACTTCATATATTAAAAGCAAGGATAGCAATGCAAATTAGAAAATTGACAAAACAAGTCATTGAAAATGACACAGTCCCAGTTAAATTTTTGAAAGGTCTCTTTGTGCTCGTCATATTAAAGTGGAAGGGTTGTCACGTGTGTGTCCTTGAAACTTGAGTCCCACGTGGCGTATACAACAGAACACGTGTTGCATGACGACCCTTCCGGTTTAAGACAGCAAAGAAAAACATAGATCAAAAGTGAAAGCATGTCCAAGTTATCACATTTTAAACAAACAAGATGGCCGCCAGTTGGCCATATATGATCAAATTGCAAATTGAATTGACATGTACATGTATCCATTTATGACATGCTGAAATCAATGAAAATGATACATTGGTGACAGAGATATAGTAATATGGCCAAAAATAAAAACAGCCGTTATTCAGCCATCTTTGATCTGATTATGAAACAAACTGACATGTATGATGTATGTGCTAAATACAAATGAAAATGGTACATAAATCTTGGAAATATAGTAGTAAGGCCAGAAAGTCAGATGGCTGTCAATCGACCATCCTTGATCCAATTTTTAAACAAATTGTCCTGGACATGTATCCCAACATTTATAAAGTATGTGCCAAATTTGAATAAAAACTGACAAAACATGTCAAGGATACCACACATAAAAAGCAAAACAAGATGCCTGCCAGTCGGCCATCTTTGATCCAATTGCGAAAGAAATTGTCATTGACATATATCCTAACATGTATAATCTATGTACCAAATTTCAATGAAAACTGACAAAACATGTAAAAAATACAACATTTTCAAAAAAAAAGATGGCTGCCAGTCGGCCAATTTTAATTGAATCGCTAAACTACTGCATGTGCATAAAGTACTAGGCACATGCAAAGAATGAACGGAATAGGTCCAAAGGATTCTGAGATATGACTCCGAACGGACGGACGGATGGAGACCGAATTATAAGTCCCCGTTTTCGGACTTCGTCCGAATGGGGACTAAAACTATACGATGATCAATCAGTAATAATATCAAGAGTTTTGTAACAGTGAGACTTACCTGTCCTCGATTATTGCATGGACTGTTGTAATTTCCAGGACACAGAAGACAAGCATCACCATAGAAACCTGCACAACACTCAGGAATCTACAGAAGAAAAATAAAGATATGCAGTATAGCTGAAGATGCACTATGGCTAAACATGATGACAATTTACACAGCATATTTGCACCATAGTAACACATGATGACAATCTATACACCATATTTGCACCATAGTAACACATGATGACAATCTACACACCATATTTGCACCATAGTAACACATAATGGCAATCTACACACCATATTTGCACCATAGTAACACATAATGACAATCTACACACCATATTTGCACCATAGTAACACATAATGACAATCTACACACCAT